TCTTCTTCTTTTGGTCTCTTGCCAGAAGAAGTGAGAAGCAGGTGATTTTATTTGAAATCCATGCCTTTGCTTTTCACCAGCTCTGCAGAAGGGAAGCTTATCTTCTTTTGGTCTCTTGCCAGAAGAAGTGAGAAGCAGGTGATTTTATTTGAAATCCATGCCTTTGCTTTTCACCAGCTCTGTGCCAGAAGGGAATTCTTTGTCATCAGTTCCAGCAAGTGCTACCCAGCTCCCCTCCTCTTGGAACCAGACATGCTTAGACCTCCTGGTCCTTGGCAGAGAGATCCTCACATCTTCTCTGCGCTCACTCCTGCTGCTGCCTTGGCAGTGCGCACGCAGCTGCAGCTGCAACCTGCTTTTATTCCTTGCCATCCTTATCTTTATTGCCCACACCTACTGTGATTCACTTGGTTCTCTTCCAGTGTAGTGCCTTTTGTGAATTTGGTGTTTTTTTCCTGGGGAAAACATAACTTTGGCATGATTTTGTCTAAGGAATTGAACTTCAAACGCAGCTCATGATAACCTCCAGAAAGAGGGCTTTTTCTGTTCTCTGTACTTTAATGGAGTATTGCTACTAAAACAGGCACCCAAGTTGTGCCACCTGACTCTAGTGAGAAGGTTCAGTATCCATTGCGGTAGAAGGTTTCCCCTTTGCCTGTCAGGAGTTTGTGGGAAGCAAAGTCTCCCTCTTTTCTCCACCTTGCTGCCTTTGAATCTGGATGTTTTGGGGCGGGGGAGTCTTACCACTCACTTTTCTGTTTTGTCACTTTGATCTTCACTTCCTTATTTCCCTAGATGGGATGGTCATGCTGGCCCCCTTGGAATGTGTGGCCAGTTACTCGAATTTTTATGGTTCTAGATCCATGTTCTATTCATGGATGGCATTTTCATTGACTCCAAAAATGCATTCTCTTGGTCAGGCCTAAGGATATATTAGGCTTGATCAGGAATCTTCAAAAAATGAGTAGTGTTGCCTGAACAGTGTTGCTCAGTGGTTGAGCATCGACCTATGAACCAGGAGGTCCCAGTGAGGGCACATGCCTGGTTTCTGGCTTGATCCCTAGTAGGGGGGCCGGCGTTAACCTATGCCGCCATCTTGGTTTTCCCCAGTCCTCTTTAATTTTTGAGCAGCCTGATCAACAGCTCGTTGTCTGGTGATGGTGGAGGAGCTGTCCTGGGGGAAGGGAGACCTCTTTTATGACTTCCTGCTCTTTACTTGACATTCTCTGAGAATGGGAACTTGGGAAGAAAGAAATGTGTGACTCTGCAAATAGTAATTTCTGCTTTGTGGCATTTGTGCCTTATTTAACCGGAGAGCCACAGATGCTTGCTTTGCAGGACATGGCCTTTAGAAAGAAGTGTGTGAGATGTGTCCTTGGGAAACTGAAATGAATGTGCAGAATGTGTTTCAACCCAGGAATGCTAACGGGAGAGACAGAGCACCCACACTTGTCATATGGCAACTTTCCTGACTGTCTGTTCTGCTTTGTCTTCCCAGCTTGTCACCAATCCTGTTTCGGGTGTGCAGGGCAGAGCCCACACAACTGCACAGCCTGCTGGCCTTCCCATGTGCTGATGGAGGGGCAGTGCCTCTCCCAGTGCCCGGATGGGTACTTTAACCAGGAAGGCAGCTGTACAGGTGAGTGTGTGACATGCTGGGGCATATTCCCTGTACCCCTGTTTTGTCTTTATAATGTGGCCAGACACTGTAATTAGAAACATTGTCATACCCATGGGACTAAGGGCTGGGTTGTAAGTCCCTATCTAGAACTCATAGGAGTAAAGGGAACAAGAGAAATTCAGTTCTTCCAGTAAGGAAGCATGGAGGAAGTGACGAATTAGAACCAGCTTACCCTGCGCATACAGTGAGGGATGGGTGTGAAGGCAGGCTCCAAGGCATCTGTGTAGGCTTGGGCATTGGGCGTGACCTCTGCACTTCTCAGCCCCACTTCCCCTGGCTATAGCCTAATAAAGCAAAGGCAAGGGAGGTGGTGGTGGTGGTGGTGGTGGTGGTGGTGGACATATGTAATACTCTCAGCAATAAAGATTTTTAAAAAATAAAATAAAGCAAAGAGAGAGGTATTTATTTTTTTCCATGACAGGTCCGTCCCATATGTGTGTTTTTTTTGTTTGTTTTTTTTAGAGAGACTGTCCCATATGTTTTTAAGAGCACTTTCATGTCTCAGTGACAGAGAGTCTAGAAATTACTAGTTGAGATTAGTGCGGGGATTTTATTGGAATTGACAAAATGCTAAAATGTAAGCACCTCATTGTAGCACTGTGTTTTCTTGTATCTACAGGGGGAAAAGAAGACTAAACACATTCTATCATGATGACTGTTTTATTTCTAATAATAGACTTGTTGACACCAGCTTCTAGGAAAAAGCCCACTGTTATGAAATTGTATTACATGTATTTCTAGAGTCGAAAAGCATGTAGTAAATTTGTAAAATATTTTAAAGATAAATTAATACTTGTTAGATTCCTCTAGCCTCAAACTCCAAAGAGGAAATTTAATGTGAACACCGATTTAGATGATTGAAGATCAATATGATATTTCTTCTGAAATTTTCTTCTTCCAAGTACCTTTTTAATCTCTCCAGGCCCCTGACGGGTTGCTTCCCTTTAAACTCTCTATCATGCTCAGAGGGGAGTGTTTCTGGTTTGTCATTGGTGGTGTCCTTGAAAACCATTGTCTGTCCTGCACTTTCACACTAGCCCAGTGGTTTGTGTGTGTGAAGTGGTTTGGGGAGTAAAGTCTGAGTAGCTCTCTTATCTTCTTTTGGTCTCTTGCCAGAAGAAGTGAGAAGCAGGTGATTTTATTTGAAATCCATGCCTTTGCTTTTCACCAGCTCTGTGCCAGAAGGGAATTCTTTGTCATCAGTTCCAGCAAGTGCTACCCAGCTCCCCTCCTCTTGGAACCAGACATGCTTAGACCTCCTGGTCCTTGGCAGAGAGATCCTCACATCTTCTCTGCGCTCACTCCTGCTGCTGCCTTGGCAGTGCGCACGCAGCTGCAGCTGCAACCTGCTTTTATTCCTTGCCATCCTTATCTTTATTGCCCACACCTACTGTGATTCACTTGGTTCTCTTCCAGTGTAGTGCCTTTTGTGAATTTGGTGTTTTTTTCTGGGGAAAACATAACTTTGGCATGATTTTGTCTAAGGAATTGAACTTCAAACGCAGCTCATGATAACCTCCAGAAAGAGGGCTTTTTCTGTTCTCTGTACTTTAATGGAGTATTGCTACTAAAACAGGCACCCAAGTTGTGCCACCTGACTCTAGTGAGAAGGTTCAGTATCCATTGCGGTAGAAGGTTTCCCCTTTGCCTGTCAGGAGTTTGTGGGAAGCAAAGTCTCCCTCTTTTCTCCACCTTGCTGCCTTTGAATCTGGATGTTTTGGGGCGGGGGAGTCTTACCACTCACTTTTCTGTTTTGTCACTTTGATCTTCACTTCCTTATTTCCCTAGATGGGATGGTCATGCTGGCCCCCTTGGAATGTGTGGCCAGTTACTCGAATTTTTATGGTTCTAGATCCATGTTCTATTCATGGATGGCATTTTCATTGACTCCAAAAATGCATTCTCTTGGTCAGGCCTAAGGATATATTAGGCTTGATCAGGAATCTTCAAAAAATGAGTAGTGTTGCCTGAACAGTGTTGCTCAGTGGTTGAGCATCGACCTATGAACCAGGAGGTCCCAGTGAGGGCACATGCCTGGTTTCTGGCTTGATCCCTAGTAGGGGGGTGCAGGAGGCATCCAATCAATGATTCTTATCATTGATGTTTCTCTCTCTCTCTCTCTCTCTCTCTCTCTCTCTGAAATTAGTAAAAAATAATATTTAGAAAAAGAAAGAAAAGATGAGCAGTTATTTGAGTTGTGTTCTGAATATAATTTGTGGAGTTCATAAAATATTTCATGTATTTACATGCTGAGCTGCTAATTCCCATCCTGATTCTTGTTTTTCCCCCTAGAATGCCACCCCACCTGCAGGCAGTGCCATGGCCCATCCGAATCTGACTGCATTTCCTGTCACCCTCATGTCACTATTAATGGTGGAAACTGTAGGACCAGCTGCAAGGAAGAGCAGTTCCTCAACCTCATGGGGTACTGTGCTGGTGAGTGATACCTCCTCAGAGTCTCAGAACCACTGCCAAAGGCTGGCGGTTCTTCATTCCAAGCTTTAACGGCTCTTGTACCTGTTTATCAGCTGAGGAAGAGCTCTTTTCTCAGGAGACATTTATTTCATATCTGGGAACTCATTTCACTGCTTCCTATCAGACATTTAGTAAATAATAGTGGATTCAAATGGAATCTTCTAATAATACTCTTGCAATTTTTGAAAGAATTTAGAATCTCAGATGAATGGAGATTGGAGTCATGATAATATCATCCATGCACGTGGCACACTTTGGCTTACAATAGCAAAATGTATTTTCAACACAATCTCTCTGAAGACTATCTCCCTCTTGTCTACACTATTTCCTGGCTTGCTATGGAGAACCTTTGCCATCAGCTCCAGCACCAAAATTTAGAGAAATTAACACAAAAGTAAATCAGTTGCCTCAGGAGTTGGGTTTATTCCTCCTCATTTAGAACCCAGATCTCAAAAAGAAATAAGTTAGGAGAGCAGCATGAAGTTTGGATAATGATGAAAGAGCCATACAGTGTTTGTGGTCATCCATTCATTCATGTAGCAAATATCTTTGAAAGTCTACTAATGGCCAGATGCTCAGAATACAAAAAACTTTTTTAAAAAATGCTGAATAAGACAACGACTCTGTTCCCAAAGAGCTAATAGTCTGGAAAAAGTAAATTATAGGCTAGTGGGTCATTATTTATTTCCTGACCCACTTTTCTCAATTTAGGAGAAATGTGAAGAGATTTGCTTGTGCAGCTGTTGTTACAGCTCTGAAGGGCTTGCCTGAGAGGCATTTTGGGATGCTACTGGGCAAGTGGGAAAGATGAAAAAGCCAGAATCAGGCTGGATGCATGCTAGAGGGATTGACTTGGCTGTACTGCTTGTCCCTGGACAGTAGGAGGTATGGCTGAGTGTCTAGAGCCAGGGGTGGGCAAACTTTTTGACTCGAGGGCCACAATGGGTTCTTAAACTGGACCGGAGGGCCGGAACAAAAGCATGGATGGAGTGTTTGTGTGAACTAATATAAATTCAAAGTAAACATCATTACATAAAAGGGTACGGTCTTTTTTTTTTTTAGTTTTATTCATTTCAAACGGGCCGGATCCGGCCCGCGGGCCGTAGTTTGCCCACGGCTGGTCTAGATTATAACATGAACAGGCATGTTGAGTCTGAGACAGCATTGATATTTCAGTTGTCAAGTTTGATGGTGAGGGCACAGCAAGTCAAGGGCAGTGCTTTAAGTATAGCCGATGGTGCCAGGGTCCTGGGGATTCCTTCCTTTTTGCACATGACCTTTGCTATAGACATTGGGGTCCAAAGCCTATATCCTAGAAAGACTGAACTGTGAAGAGCAAAGTTGCAACCAAAAATGCTGGAATTCAGGGCAAAAACCAGTTGTTATGTAAGTTCAGAGAAGAGAGAAGAAAAAGCTATGGAAGGCATTGTGAAGGAGGTGGGACCTAAAATTCTTCCTGAAGAATAGCTAGGATTACATTAGACAGAGGGAGGTCAGGCAGACTTTCTGAGTGTGGTTCCACCAGGAGACAGGCACCGTGGAAGAGCATGTGGGCTGTTCACGGCCAGTGAGATCCAACTTGGCTGAAGAACATGGTTTGTAGATGGCATAGTAGATGAAACAGTTGGGAAATTTAAGTTGGAACCGAAGTATAGAAAACCCAGAATTTCAGGCCAAAAAAATTAGATGGAATTTTGTGGGCCGTACAGTCATGAGAGTTTTGGAGAGGTCAGTGACTTGACTAAAATGGTGTGTTATGGGCAGGAAACGTGCATGCTGTGTGGGAGTTAGACTGGAGCAAGGCAAGATGAGAGTCAGAGAGAGGCATTAGAAGGCAGGATCTTCATTATGCTTTCCTATTTCCAACCCATTCAGTGTGTGCACCCTGAAATTTTTATGCTGGGGAAATTTTAAAAATAAATGTTTATATAAGGAGATTGGAAACATTTAATTTTTAATGAGCTTTGTTTTCTCCAATGTCCAGAGCTCTCTTTGAGAGTAAATTAGGAGTACATTAATTTTTTAAGGTTAATAGGGGACCATTGGAATAAAGAATCATAGCCCTGGCCAACTTTGCTCAATGGTTGGAGCATCGGCCTGCGAACTGAAGGGGCTTGGGGTTGATTCTGGTCAAGGGCATGTACCTGGGTTGCAGATTCCCCACCCTCATTGGGGTCATGCGGGAAGCAACCAATTGATATGGCTCTCTCACATCTGTTTCTCTCTCTTTCTCCCCCTCTCCCTGTCCCTTCCACTTTCTCTAAAATCAATGGAAAAAAATACCCTCTAGAGAGGATTAAAAAACAACAACAAACAGTGAATAAAGAATCATGGGACTAGGCTATATGACTCTAGAAATACCTATCCCTAGAAGAGCAGGTCCCACTAAAATAGCTAGAAGAGACAAATTTTGACTGTCCTTGGCATTAGGTATATTGAGTATTGGTTTTAAATAAGATAACCATTGTCTAGTACTTGGATATCCTTTGTTGAATAGAGACAGGTGTATGAGTGTCTAGTATAGAAAAATTTGACCAGTAATTTCAATTGTTCATCCTTCAGGGAAGTGTATTGATTTCAAAGTTTACTTTTTCAATAAATATGTATCATTTCCAAACAACTCCCATTTCTCTCTGTAGCATTGTAATGCATTTGTTCATTTACTGCTTAATCAAATATTTATTAAGCACACGCTTCATGCCAGGCACAGTGCTTGGCTCTAGGGATACAGAGATGGATAAGATATAATGCTGCATTCAAGAAACATAGAGTGTAAGAAGGAAGGGGATGTGTGTTGAATATGATATTGCTGTGGATATGAGATAAGCCTGTGGGACAGGACTCCAACTCAGACCAGAGGGTGTGTGTGTGTGTGTGTGTGTGTGTGTGTGTGTGTAGAGTGGATATAGAAAGCTTCCTAGAACATTTCATAACTGAGATGATTTTTAAATATTGAGAGGGGTTTGGAGACTTAGAAGGAAGAGCATTCCAGAAAATGGTCCAAAGAATATTATCTATTCAGGCACCAACAAAGAGTTAAGTAGAATGCCAGCCCCTAGCATGGAAGTGGTGGGACTTGAAGCAGAAGGAAGTAGAACCAGGTCATGAGGCCATTGTATTTTCTGTGTAAGGAGGACATACTTTGTTATCAAGGCTGTGGGGATCTCTTGAAGGTTTTAAAGATATTATGAAGGATGCTATTTTGTGGGCACAAATGGTCAAATAGTGGCGATTTAATGCAGTGCCCCTCCCCCCTTATCTGTGGGGGAGGCATTCCAAGACCCCCAGTGGATTGTACCAAACAATCCACGGATAGTACTGAAATATATTTATATATATATATAATGTCTTTTTTTATAAATATATACCTTTCATATAAAGAAAGTGCTTTAAGGCTTCTCTTTGGCATATCCCAATTGCCAGCATCACTACTCGTGCTCTTTGGAGCCACCATTAAGTGAAATTAGGGTTACTTGGACACAAGACACTGCAATACCACAACAGTCAATCTGATAACCCAGGTGGCTACTAAGTCACGTTGGGGCAGGTAACATATAGAGCATGGATATGCTAGACAGAAGGATGGTTCACATTCCTAAAGGGACAGTGTGGAATGGGTGGGGCGGTGTTGGATGGCACAAGATTTCATCATGCTACTCAGAAAGTCATGCTCTTTAAATAAATTGTTTATTTCTGGAATTTTCCATTTAATATTTTTGAACAGGAGTTGACCAAAGGTGACTGAAACTATGGTAAGCAGAATTGTGGATAGGGGGAGCTTACTGGAGAAGCAACGGAAATTACTGATCTCTTAACCCTGGGGGTGGAGGGAGAAGGAGTTTGGGAGTTGATTTCCCAATTTCTGATCAAGTAAATTTGAGGAATGAGAGTACCATCTACCAATGGCCAGACTAGGAAGATAAGATGTTTGAATTTAGACACGTTGAATATGGGGTGACTATTGGACATCCAGGGAGAGCCTCCAGAAGGAGGTTGAAGACCCAAGTTAACAGGTGTTTTACTGGAACCACCAGGAGCCCATCTGCTATCTTTCTTTTACCCTGAACCTAATGTGCTGCAATGTTTCTTTCTTTTAACTGAAGTCTTGCTTTAGTCAGGTCAGAGTTAACCTCATGGAACATTTCAATGACTTTTACCTAAACTCAGGAACTTGTTAAGAAGAGCCTGGTGATGATCAACAAAGCAGAAGAAAATCCTCCCTAGGCAGTGCCATCCGGGGAATGTGTTTTCATCATCCTTGGGGAGTTCTGGCACAGTGAAGGCCCCGGGGAAGGGCCCTGTCTGTTCCCTCTATCATGTGTGAGATTTGCAGGGTGGTGGGATTTACTCACAGGATTTATATCTATCTGAGCTGTACCTGTGATCATCATCACAGACCTCTTAATTGCACTTGGCTGTTTAAAAAAGAAAATTACATCTAATCTATCACACAGACAAGAATAAACATATCCTGGGAACAGGTCCAATAACCTTAATGTGATTATCACATACAGAGATGTCATATGTGTGGGGATTTTTTTTTCCCTTTAAGTCTATCAAAGCAAATATACAGTTTGTGAGATTTAGACCAGGACTGAAGGTTTTCAATAGAGATAAATGCACTGGGGTGAGAGGCAGGAGTGGATAAGATTACAGAAGACATGGATAAGCATTGTGGAAAGCCAGGTTTTTTCTTCATAGATTTTTTTTCTTAGGATTTTGCACACATCTCAGCAACATTATCCAAAAATTCCAAAGTCTTAGGTGCTTCCTCCTTCTGTTTTTTTCCAGCTAAATCTTTTCTCCTACTTATAGAATATGATAGAAATTAAAAAGAAAGCATGAGTGAGAAATATGCAAATGCAAAAGCAAAATAGAAGCATCTTGGACTTTGAGGCATGGCCTAGTGGAATGGCCATACTTTGAGTTCTTATGTAGAAAAGGAGATAACACTGAGAGGA